TAATTACGATGCTCACAAGAAATGATAGTGCGAGTTATGAATTCAAGTCACTACATACGATATGTCTCTTTACCAACGCACACAGTGTTTGCTCGCATGACACTCCCTATATACTGGGATGCATGCCAGAGGCCAGCATTACCCATAAGCCTGTTAGCCCAGCAATAATATTGATACTCACTGATATTACCGGACGCACCATCGTAATCGAAGGCCTCTACGCGAAATTCCAAGGAATCGATGTAGTAGAACGTCTTACGGTCTGCTGACCACGTCAGTCCATTCGAAATTGAAACCTGGTTGAGCAATAGAGGAAATCAATACAAAAATAATTAACCTCAAGTTTCAGTAGTCAACAAAAAGCAAACTAAATATTTGACTATGGAAGCCCTTGCAATAGGTGATAGTCTAATTTTTCGGGAGTACTAATACAACGTTAAAAATGAGAAAAATCTAAGAATAAAAACATGCTTAAGGTAATAACAGTTTCGCAACGTATTTTGCATTGGGGTATTCGAGAACAGACGTAACCTCCTTGACAGTTGGCACAGGCTTCAAATCTTTAGAGAATCTGTAAAGCGTCCCTTTCTTCGCATCAAAGTTTCCGGGCGAAAGCTCCGCGCCCATCGTACCTGAATTGAGCTTTGATCAAACGCTGAATATGATAATTAATGCAGATTATGTCAAACACTGAATATAACACTAATAACAAATTATATCATTTTTATCCATCACTGAATGTAATTGCAAATAATATCCTATTATATTCAACACAAAAAATACACATCATATTCGAACAACTTTATATTCAAAATAATACTAAAACATTATAATACAACATTATAATGCATAAAATTACAACACATTAAATTCATAATAATATTAATTGCAAATGTTCTGATCGATGGCAAATGTAGATATAGGTTATTAAACGGACATAACAAACAATAAGAGAAGAAATAAAAATACATATTCATGATGAACAGATGTGTTTTGGAAAGCAAGAGAGGTGAAGATTTAACGATTTATTAAATTTAGTTACCCAGTTATTATTAGAACGATTTGGTCAGAAAGAAGCATATAAGAGATTTAATATGAACTCATGCAGTGCATGTGCTAATTCTACACTGGTCTTATAACGTTTTATTTTGCTTGTTATACATTGCGTTATCCTTATATATTATGCGCTCAAGTCAATATATAGTTGATAATCGCTTGCTTACTTTTGGCTCATGTAAGTGAGAGTCGCAGATTTGAGATGAATTTCTAATGCCGACGATCGTATTTCTAAAAAATTTAACGTGAATCGTCCTTGCTTTTTTAATCAATGTCGTTAAAAGTCAAGCGACTGTTTTATAGCACTAAGCTATTCTGAGTTACCCAAGAGAACTTGATTCTTTGGGAACATTACGGATATTCGTCTACGTGATAACATTTGTTCATGATTAAATTATATCACGTCGACTCAACTTTATTTAATTAGGCTGTTTTGAAGATTCTGTGAGTTAATTCATCCGATACTCTAGTCTTTTACCAGGACTGATATTGCGTAAACGGGTAGCCCATTGGGTAGCCTTTTGAATTAAGTGATTTCAGGAAACTATACTTAGTTGACCTTCTGAATTACGTAATTTCACGATACTGGAGTAATTGGGTAGCGTACTGGAGTAATTGCAGGCCATTTCATTGGGTAGCCTTTAGAATTAAGTGATTTCAGGTAACTATTTAATAAGTTGACCTTCTGAATTACATAATTGCACGATACTGGAGTAATTGGGTAGCGTACTGGAGTAATTGCAGGCCATTGCGTAATTTGGTAATGGCCTGCATTACGTAATGGCCCCTAATTACGTTATTCTAAGCTACCACGTACATTCGTAGCTACCGTTAATTACGTAATTGCAGGCTATAGCCTAATATGGTAATTTCCTGAGTTACGTAATAACAGGTTGTTACGTACTTTGGCAGCCCACCAAAGTTCGTATTCGCAGGCTATTATGTAATTTGCTAACATATCGTCTTACTTAATTGACCTACTGATAATTAGTAATTCCATAGTTCATTCTACAGCACTCGTTGAATTGCGCACGCATGCAAACACCTGAAGCACCCTATAAGTCTCGCGACCAGTATAGATGTTTCCTGCAAGCTGGTTAGCTGGGAAATGTACTTACTGCTAAACTGAACCACATTTGTCAACAGCAACACATAGAAATTTCGGAAGATTCGAGATATCTCCTCGCTAAAAGTATAAATGAGTCTTATCACCGCCTTCCAAGGTGAACGCCGTATCTCGATTTGCATGCACACACAGTGTGATGATGAGAGTGCTTCGAGCTAAAGTGCACCAAGCGCTGATAGTGCATCGAGCCTTGCTGTAGCATGCTGACGGATAATATAATAATTATTGTTCTCTTGTGTCTCTGATCTTTTTTTACAACACTTCTCTTTAACTTCACTTCTTGTTCGTCTGTCTGCTACAAATCTTGTAATCGAAATTTAACACACTTCTACTTATCCTATCGATCTGAAATTTTGCATACTTGTTTAAAGTTGGAGACAATGCATGAATCAAATGTCAAAATAAATGATTTTAAAAAGTAAGAAAAAAAATTTTGTTTTCAATATTAAAAAAATTGAAAAAATAATTTTGTCAGCTACAAATCTTATAACTGATACTTGACACACTTTAACCTGTCCAATTGATCTGAAATTTAGCACACTTGTGTGAAGTCGGATGCAATGCATAAATCAATTGACAGAATAAACAATTTTGAAACAAAATTTTATATATTAAAAAAATTGAAAAATTAATTTTAGTAATATTCGAAAATTAAATGAGAAATTCATTGTACATCTGTAACATTGGAGACACTCGATTTGTTAAAAGTGTTGTCTTTAAAAAGTAATTTTTAAACGTATATTTTTTTATTTTACCTCTCTTTGAGCCTGCAGTTACAACACCAATTACCGGACAGTTCTTTTGTGACTGCTTCTGTACGCTGAAAGTGGGAGTGTCATGTCAGATAAGATCGGCTCATCAGTCAGCTGTCTTCACAAAACGATTGAAGAATATTGAATAAAGCTTCAATTCCGGGAAATTCATGATAAGATTCAGATTCATGACATGGAGTTCAATTTCGTCCAAATATTCAGAGAAAGTATCAACCTTTTTACAAGACTGCTCTTTAACTTCACTTCTTCTTTGTTTGTCTGTCTGTCTGTCTGCTACAAATCTTATAATCGATATTTAACACACTTCTACATGTCCAATCGATCTGAAATTTTGCACACTCGCGTAAAGTTGGAGACAATGCATGAATCAATTTACAGAATAAATAATTTTATAAGTTATAATTTTTTTTCATTATTAAAAAAATAAAAAATAATTTCGTCCGCTACAAATCTTATAATCCATATATGACACAATTTGACCTGTCCAATTGATCTGAAATTTTGCACAACTGCATAAAGTCAGAGACAATGCACGAATCAATTGGCAGAATAAATAATTTTGAAAATTTACAAAATTTTGATAGCATAAAAAAATTTTGAAAAATTTTTTTTTCAATATTTGAAAATAAAATTAGAAATTCATTGTACATGTGCATCATCCAAGACACTGGATTAATCAGAAGTGTTGTCTTTAAAAATTAATTTTTAAACGCATATAATTTTATATTCTAAGGTATAATATATTTAAGTGTGCTATCGTTTGATCGTATTCACAAGCATAAATTGCTTGTGTTCAGTTCAAGACTATAATAATATGCCCGGTAATTTTTATTTATTCTAGGGTATAATATATTTAAGTCTCCCATTGTTTGATCGTGTTCACAAGCAGAAATTGCTTGTGTTCAGTGCAAGACTTTAGTAATATGCCCAGTAAGTTTTTATTTACTCTAGGATGTAATATATGTAAATCTCCTATCGTTTGATCGTGTTAATTAGAAGATGTTGTTTGTGTTCAGTTTAGGATTATAGTAATGAGCTCAGTAACTTTTTTTATATTATAAGGTATAATATATTTAAGTCTCCTATTCGTTGACCGTGTTCACAAGCAGAAATTGCTTGTGTTCAGTTCAAGACTATATTAATATGCTCAGTAACTTTTTATTCATTGTAGGGTATAAATATATAAGTCTGCTATTAATTGATCGCGTTAAGTAGAAGACTTCGCTTGTGATGTGATCAGTTTAAGATTATAGTACTAAGCTCAGTAACTTTTTGTTAGATTCTAAAGTATAATATATTTAAGTCTCCCGTCGTTTGCTCGTGTTCACAAGCAGTAATTGCTTATGCTCAGTTCAAGACTATAGTTATATGCCCAGTAATTTTTTTTATTTATTCTAGGGTATAATATATGTCTCCTATCGTTTGATCGCGTTAACTAGAATAAATCGTTTGTGTTCAGTTTAAGATTATAGTAATAAGCTCAGTAACTTTCTCACAAGACTTCTCTTTAACTTTACTTCTTATTTCCTTGTCTGTCTTCTACAAATCTTATAATCGATCTTTAACCCACTTCTACCTGTGCAATCGATCTGAAATTTGGCACACTTGCGTAAAGTTGGAGACAATGCATGATTCAATTGACAGAATAAATAATTTTATAAATTAATAAACAATTTTTTTTCATTATTAAAAAAATTAAAAAATAATTTCGTCTGCTACAAATCTTATAATCCATATATGACACAATTTGAACTGTCCAATTGATCTGAAATTTTGCGCAATTGCAAAGTCAAAAACAATGCATGAATCAATTGACAGAATAAATAATTTTGAAAATTTACAAAATTTTGATGTCTTAAAAAATTTTGAAAAATAATTTTTCTTCTAAATATTTGAAAATAAAATTTGAAATTCACTGTACATGTGTAACATCCAAGACACTGGATTGTTCAGAAGTGTTGTCTTTAAAAAGTAATTTTTAAACGCATATTATTATGTGTCAACTCGCTCGCATTCAGAGAAAATTTTGGGCACATCAAACAAGCTTTGAAAATACTTTTAATGTTCGCACACAAAATAATTTCCCACAAACAAGATGATGTGTCAGACATAACCTTTTATTTGAGAATAATTATAGATGGGGTTATATTTCAATACATTTTCAATCGTAATTTCATAATAATTAAATTTTTTCAGATATGAACATGCGCAATTGTAAGAAAATCGGCGCGGAATACAAATAATTATATTACTAGGTTGCTAATTCTTGCTTATGGTATGTTTGCATACGGTAATAAGTTTCTATATACATGTGAGAAATTCGTTTCCAGTAGGAATATTCAAACAGTTATTTTCATTGATTATTGGGAAGCTGATAATTCGAAATTGGCTTTCCACATGACTGACAGCGAAAATTAACACTTGTACTTTTAATTTAGCTGGAAAATGAAAACTCGCAGTTTAATCGTTAACTGCCAGAAAATAAAATTAAAAATTCGCTCCTCGTTTTTGGCATCAAGGATGAATTCAAGGTTGGCTCCTAACTTCCTAGAAGAAAATATCACACAAAGTTAAATCCTTCTTAGCTACCAGAAAATATCGCTCTAACTTTGCTCCTCTCTTTTAGCATGAATGAATGAAACTCAGAACTTTTAAGAAAAAAATTCTCAATCAAAAGTCCCCGCCGCCTAAACTTGACTCGTAACTTTTTCCAGCACGGCTGCATCGACTCGGGCGGTGCGGGCCGCGGTGCCCCGGCAGCCGAGCCCGGTCACCTCGAAGACCGCCCCGGCGTTGGGCATGAGCTTGAGCTCCTCGTCGGTGGTGCGGAAGCGCGCAGTGGTCACGTAGAAGACGTCGTACGCGGGGCCGCCCCAGCACACCGACGTCACGTTCACGGCAGGCAGCTCTAGAGTCTGCACCACCGCCTTCTTTATCGGGTCTATGCACCTGATCTGGGGAATTTATTTGAAAGAGAAATAAATTAGGAAGGAGAAATGACTCAATCAAAAACCAAAACAAACAAGAGTCAACACAAGAAACGTTACTGACGCAAAGTTGAACTTTATTTCGCTTAAGGGTGAGTATAGCTCAACGACGGCAAACTGTTCATTGATAATTTTTGATAGTATATTTTATCCACACAAGCCGACATGTGGATTCACTTTTACTCGTGGCCAGAATACTGTCAATGATCCAATTTTAACCGAGTTATGATATAAAACGATGAAGTGGTAAAAAAAACACTTTAAATACACGTTGTTTAGGATAGCTCAATGAATGGTAATTATTAACAATGAATGGCTCGCTCCGTTAGTAGACTACAGTAAAAGCGTCAACAAATCTGACCTTCGATCCCCCGAAATGAGCTACCCAAAGGTTTCCGTCCGTATCGAGCTCCATGCCGTCGGGCCGGTCCGGGGTGATCCCTGCCTCCTTGTAGTCCAGGATCGTGCGTCGATTACCTGACGGTGAAATGACACTGAGCGGGCGCCGTGCTTTGATTATTAAAAAAACGAGCAGAACGTATGCCAAAAAATCAGATGAATGCTTACCGTTCTTCCAAATGAAAATGGTAGGGGGTTGAACCCTATTTTGCATGAAATATATGGGCTGATGAATGCTCCACGGAATGAAAATAATTTGGTAATATTTTGTATGACAAGTTATAGGTCCATATACAATTAAGAGTCGAGTCTGGAAAAGCTTACCACAGAAAATTTTTCAATAAAGCAAAAAGTACTTAGCAATTTCTATTTTTTTAAACAAATAGTAGTTGGAAGTCACTACAAGAGGAATAGACCATACATACCAAATTTACCCAGTCGCTGAAAAGTTATGGACGAAAATTGAGCATGATAAGCGATAAACAGTGGTGAAATATGCGTGCTTACAGAATGCAATAACATGATGCCTGAAACATACGGTATATAATAGTAGCAAAACATTCCATCAATATAATAACAAATATCATCAAAGATAAAATCAGCATTGATTAGTACAATAATCATAATTAATAGTTTGCAGGGATGTGGAACTTATTTCAGAGTGCATCAACATATCATGGTCGATGCTTCAACGTCACATTAGCGCTGAAAATTGCATATGCACCAAAGGAAAAAACAGAACAAGGAGTCCAGTCCAGCTTATTCCAGTTACGAGCCCAGTCCAGCTTTTCCAGTTATACGAGCCCAATCCAGATAATTCCAGTTATACGAACCCAGTCGAGCTTATTCCAATTACGAGCCCAGTCCAGCTTATTCAGAAATACGAGCCCAATCCAGATAAGTGCTGTTACGAGCCCAGTTCAGATTTAACCAGTTACGAACTCAATCCAGATAATTCCAGTTTCAAGACCAATCCAGATAATTGCAGTTTCGAGCCCAGTTCAGATTATTCTAATTAAGTACATTGCCAAGGTGTTCTCACTACGTATATCACAATCTGCTCTGTTGTGAAATTTACAAAGAGCTCCGTATAAGGTAAAAGGAAGATATTATTGGTATTTTTAATTTTGTTCGGCTGATTATAAAATGTTTTTAAATGAACTAATATCTACAATATTTTGCTCTTAGCACTTTAGTTCATTTCGTTAAGACAAAAGAACAGCAAATTTGCGCGTACTTACAACGCAAATTGCTTAAAAGTCCAGATTTATTTTCTGTTAGTATAGATGACAAAACGGCTTCGATTAAACAATTTCTCAACAAATAACATAAATACAAGTGGCATTGAAGTACAATATAAGTGTTTTCAGTCATCGTTTTCTAAAGAAGAATTAAACATTAAATTTCAGCCTGAATATCACTTATTTAGCATATGAATATTATTTATCAATACTATTTATATGGAATAAATCAATTATTTCGGACGTAGCAATCACACATCCTAAATAACGCAGCGTTTATGCACAAATTCTTACTTATGTCACCCGATGGATCGTCGTAGTCGAAGGCGTCGACCCTGAGCTCTCCGGTGTCAATGTAGTAGAAGGTCTTAAGGTCTGCAGACCACGTCAGACCATTCGAAAGCATGACCTGAACCCAGGAATTAAAAGGTAATAGAAAGTAAACAGGTCATAACAATAATATTCTTACTTTTGCCAAGTGTACCTGGTAACTTATTACATCACGTCAGGCCATTTGAAAGCATGACCTGAACCCAGGAATTAAAGGGTAATAGAAAGCAATAATGTCACCAGACTGCCCGAATCGCAGATTCACCGGAAATTTAAAAGCGAAGAAAACTCCAAAAATAATGCTGAATTTTTGTGGAGTTTTCTTCGCCTTTAAATTTCTGGTAATAGAAAGTAAACAGGTCATAACAATAATATTCCTACTTTTGCCAAGTGTACCTGGTAACTTATTACATAATTTTTTGAGGTCGATTTACGGGAAATCAAAATGGCACAGAAAATGCGAGTATAGGTAACGATATCATCTATTTCGCTTTATCAACATCTCTATATATACATGTACTTGCATCAAAAATATTGAAATTTTAACGATTAAAAACCTTATCAAATTGCATTTAATTTGACGATATGGTGATGATGATATAGAGCGGCTGCCATTTGCAGGAAAATATTTCAATTCGCTTCAAGTCTATTGTACTAAACAGTCGGCGAAATCAAAGCATAATATTAGTCTCTTTGGATATAAACTTAACGTAGTGGTCTCTATCGTTATCACCACGCAATGACGGGCAGAAAATATGATGATTGAGCCTCAGAGAAACTATATATAGATTACGAGCTACTGAGCATCTCTGCTTGCTTTTCAATTGTCTAAGAATCAATACTGAAAAATTACTGCGAAAACTCGCAATTTCGACCGCAAAATAGTTCTATTTGATTGATGCATTTATACTTCAAGCTAGATTTAAAAAATGCATTTAGAGATAGTGAACTAGTCTCCCAACATGCAGAAACACCATGTCTTAGAAAAAAGCCGAAACTCTAATCACCCTTCGGAATTAAATCCCCACACTCAAAAATCGTAATAGAAAGGATAACTTGGCAGATTCCAGATTGCAAGAAATAGTTAAATGCAAATATGAAAAATAGTTTAATGCAAATGCAGACCACACACTTCATCTTGGAGTGCTGTCTGAACTTCCATAAATAGTTGCCGAGCAGCTGACGCTAAAATATAAAATATTGTAGGTCCCTCTACGAGCGCAGTTCAAATTAGCCTGAGAGGTAGTTAAAGCAACCCCATTTTGAGAAGAGGACACCAGGAAAATACCAGCCAATCAGCCTAGCGAATATTTTTGTGAAATATTGTAATTACTGATTTATGTCAATATGAAGGAACGCCTGGAAACGCACATTTTTTCGGATTTTGTGCATGGATTTATTTCAGGCAGTTTGTCGTACCTAAATGGGTTGACCAATACAGTTTAGCCCAAAGGTTGTACTCTCCTCCTTTCCTTGCAACATATTGTTCCTGTATGTTGAGACATATGCACTAGTTGGATATTTTTAAAATTCCAATTTTTTTAAATAAATGTAAAAATCATCCCTAGATCCCTCCCCGATCACCATTTTCATCTATAACCATGCTTGAAAGAACACGATATACAGCGTTATTTGGGAACAATGGTGTACATGAAAATGTCAACATTTTCGTACATGTACCTATACTGTCATTTAAAATAGGTTGCGAAAAACTGATTTGATAGAAAGCTGACCCTTGGATGCGATTTTAATAATTAATGCAATTTTATTTATTATCTTTGCGTGTCGCTGTTTTTTGGTCCAAGCACTTGAAAAGCGGAACTAGGGATAATTGAACATAACTGAGTATATTATCCCAGTCATTCCTCGCAATAACTGAACGATGTGTATTTTTTTCTAGGTTTTGATTTTAATTCACCCTATAAGGCTATGGTATACAAGGTTCTCACATTTCCGACCATTCTGGTTGGCACCAAATCCACACTGAAGCGGTAGAGTGAGCTCTGTTTGGTTTCAAAATTGCCATCGGATGACATCATTCCTGAAAACAAAGAATTGTGGCTGTGAGAATTATTTTGTTACATGTACTTTCTCATGGGATGGTTTAGGATGCAACATGCAGATTGTTATCCAACAAAAGAAGCGAGGGATCTGTACCCAATATAATTATCAATACGTTATATAAAGCTATAACAACCTTGACTCCGTTGACGTTCTCTCAGCCATTAGCTTGTGGTGACGAGTTTTCTCGTTAATAATCGGAACTACTGGATAATAGACGTTACCTCCCAAAGTTCAGGCATAGATGGGATAATGACATCATGAGGTATGTCTAGCATTAAACATCATTAAATTGAAACTCATTACACTCAAATCTGAATTTAGAAATGCACGTAGAAGTTTTAGGCAGAAAACCTGACAGAACAGCCAAGTAACAGCCGCTGGGTCGCACCACTACACGTCACCATGCTACTCACTGAACTCGTGGGGGGAATTTTGTTTCGCATGGTCACTCTGGACTGTCAGGAGCCGGTCCACGTGCCAACCACATTAGTCGCTTTACTCTCTACTTATACGCTACCGGATATTAGCCTCAAACTCCTTATTTATTAATTTAGTAGAGTCTCTTTCTCCCTGATCAGTCAGTTCTATGCAGTGACATTACTTGTTTCAAAGGTAACCTAATTTATCTGTATTTTTCTGCTATATTCGTGTCTATATTGTCAAGATATATGTATGTCATTAAGTTATTGTGTCATTTTATTGTGTGATTATATATCGATATATTTTAAAGCTAATTATATTGCATTTATATTCGCAAATCTTTTTACCAATCACACATCTGAGCAAGCCCTAGCCGGCTAATTGCCCAAATGCGGCTTTGGCGCAATTCTGACAACATTTTTGTGGATAAATGTGCCGTTTATGCATCATCAACATAGACCCCACTATTCTCATAGTCAGTTCAGCTTTCCCCCGTCGTATAGAACGTGACATTGATTCACATTTCACAATTTTCAACTGATGTTAGAGATGAACTCTGAAACGCTTCCTCTGAAAGACTGATAAATTTTCAATACATGTATCCTATAAATTTAGGTTTAACTTTAAATCAAAGCAATCAAATTTTCTGCTATATTAGGAATATACTTGAAGTTAATGAGCGTTGTATTATTCTGAAAATAGGTGCGTATAGCCTTATAATGGAGAGGCAAAAATAAATTTTATACTGAATACAGCGCAAATTAATCAGCTTGATATGAAGGAGTTATCGTTCTAGACATCTTATCCCCGGGGGGATAATCTTGATAAGTATTAATTTTCATTAATTCCGAGGGTGGCCTAGTAGTTTCAGGAGTCATCATCTTAATGTAAATAGCGTTTGGTCTCATTTGCAATGCACGTAAAGGCATTGGACCTTGAAAGACTTTAAAGACTTTACTTCAGTTTAGCTACAGTGCGGGCACCGTGCAGCGGGCATGTGTGAAGGGCGGGCACCGTGCAGCGGGCATGTGTGAAGGGCGGGCACCGTGCAGCGGGCATGTGTGAAGGATCATAGGCCACGGGAAAGAGCCATGAGACAAAATTCTCCTATCATCTGAGGTCGGCGAGTGAAAATCCGACCGAAGGCAGCGCGTTCTAAAAACCTCAGGCACCAGCTCAGGTAAGAACTCGTACGTGTCCAACCAAGGCGATACATTAAAACGCTAATGACAAATAAGCAATCCAAGCTCCGTTTGGCCAATTTAGATATAGTTTCTCTATCCATCCATATCACTTGTAATCTAGATCCAGAATAATATTTGTATTAATACATTGAGATTAACTTTTCCAAAAAATTTTTTGGGGCATTAAATACCTTCAAAAAGTTCTCTTGTATCCAAACACAATGACGATACGCGAGATATTCGCACCTGCCCAAATGCGCCCTTGCGGGTCACACTTTCCGTCGTTGAAGCGCGTGGTCTTTCCCTGGTCGACGGACGCGAGGCGGACGGCGCGGATGGTACTTTCGTCCGGGTCGCTGGGGGACCATTTGACCGCGGCCAGGTTGCGGCCGTGGCCAATGAACAGCACCTCCGGGTCATCGGCAGAGGGCAACACGAACGACACCGATGCTCCACTGTCGCCCTCCTCTGCACGCACAGAGAAACTACGTATGCAAAATGATATTTAATTCGCAGGGCACGAATACAATTCACGATCAATGTTCACCTTCAGAAGTTCTGACAAAAAAATCAGTCTATATATAGTACTCGAATAATGAACTAAAATTGTACGGTATTCTCTATTTAAACACTAACAACAACAGTCAAGCAAAAATTACCCCACAATTCCCCATTTTAATATATTATTTCTTGTGTTTTATTTTGATTACACGATGATATCAAGTTAGGTCATTTAAGAACAGTATCGAAAAGTACGCGAAGTTATTAGTTCGACTTTAATCCTTGAGTCACGTGCAAATAAAAATTACGAGTGTACCTGTATAGGCTGTATTTGAATACTTTGATGCAAGAATCTTACCGACTTTTGCCACCTGGTGTCGGCCGGTTTCAGGGAAGTATCTATGAATTTCAAATTCAAAAATGTCGACGTAGAGAAGGCAGTTGTGACGCGCTTCCCAGAAGGGCGCCTCTCCGAGGGTGGCAGGGGGAGTGACCGCTTTAATAGTGGGTGCCATGGTTCAAAAGAAACTAATTGGGACTACCTCCAATAATCTGAAATTTATAACGCAAAATAATATGAATAAATCTTTAGAGTCAAACTTGCTGATGTTGGAGATTGAATCTAGCTGCAGCCCTGCAAAGAACTATAACAACATAAGCCTTGCTCCCACGTTATCTGCTCTGTAGTATAGGACTAATTCTCCGCCCACTTGTAACTATGTGGCATCCAGGCCAGCGTTGCCAGATGGTATATTTCTATACCAGATTTCGCAAATCTGGTATTTTCAGAAGGTGTCTGGTATGAATATTTCAGATCTGGTATATTTGCCTAAATCTGGTATTTTTCTGGTATTTTCTTACATGCTGCAAATTTACTGCATTAATTAAGTTCCACCTCTGAAGTTTGAACTTCCTCCAGCATTGGCGTGGATTGTATAGATTACCTTCAGAGCGGCGCGACTAGAGGTTTCCCGCCATTTTTGGAACTGCAAGTTTACCGCTTGATAAAATAACCCCAATTTAATTGTTAACATTTAACAAAAGTGCTTAGTGCAATATGAGCACGAGAGTGATGATCCTTGATTGATTACTGATCAGTGATGAACTGATGATATGGCCTAGGACGAGTGAGGTTGTCGAACCGATCTCTGCGACGCAAGCTCCACCATTTTTGTTTGGTGGTTATGAATTCTAGAGTGCCACTTATTGGAGTGCCACTTGAATTCTGGGGTGCCATTCAATATTTCACTGATCTTGACAATTATCATCCATTCAGGGAACTGGCTGCCTACTGCATCACTTGTCTACTTTGACCTGTCTCCAAAGCAGTCGTGGTGCAAGTGTTTTCACAAGTCACCTATGTGAAAAAGAAGCAACTGAATAAAATTTCAACTACGGTACTGGAGTCCCGTATTCGGACCAAAAGCTATCTGCTCATCTGCAACAATTAAGTGATCACACCCGAAATGTTAGATTAATGCAATATGCAAGCATGTACAAAAATAAGCAAAATGAAGATGACCTGTTTCCGTGGCTTGCTCATGTTTAGCGAAGAGGAAAAAGTGCCACGATGACACTGATAAAAAAAGGAAAAAGTGTCAATGTAATCAAACACAGGAAAAGAAAAGTGTCAAAATATTCCAAACAGAGGGGAAAAAATATAACGTGTTAAATTTGGCTAATTATCGTCAAGCCAGATAACTGCACAGTAAATAAGATAATTTTTTCTAACCAACGTTTCTGACGAATAGTTGTATTAAATTTGGAGGTATTAGTCTGTTTTTGAGCGACAGAATTTCTGGTATATTTCTGGTATTTTGAGCTAGGCAATCTGGTATTCTTGCCAAGAAAAAACCTGGCAACACTGATCCAGGCTTTGCTTATTATCACAACACTTGGTGCGCGGCATGCCACATCCACGTGAGTTGTAATCTTACTAAAGTTGTTAGAGCAGCATGAAACAACATTAGGCGATTAGCTCCACCTCATCTGACCAGATATAACTGGCTGAAACACGTGACTAAACTGTTATGCAAATGCATATAAATTATACCACTATTAGTTCAAAAGAATACAAAAATTTCTGTTACCTAAGCAAAGAATTCAACACGCCAAGGAAAATAGATTTTGTAGAGCTAAATGATCAAGCCGTTGAAGGGATCGTTTTCATAGTCATTTTATAACTAGGCTGATGCAATTGATACATTTTATGATAAATAAGAAGTTAAATATAACTTCGGAATAACTGAGATGTCAATAGCAACCTCAATGAATACCACACACAGCAAAGTCATGCCAGTTACTACCTAGCTTCATGTGTCAACACTTAACATCACGTTCATCTCATCATTGACACGCAAGCCCTGCACTCTATGCTTATAATGTAGCCACCCACTCCGACTCCTGGTGCAGCGCCATCTGTTAGCTGAATTTGTAAGTGTTCTATTGGCAGAATTTACGTACATGTCACCGATAAATTATGTATACGTTTTATTCGCCTTTCTCCGGATTAGTTTTTCTCTCTCTTGGCCGTGTTATCAATCGACAGATCGTTTAGAAATTTTATCGGAATTAACTGACCTCGGAAGGACTCCACGCAGTATAGAAGTATGAAGAAGAGGTTGATGGCCTTGGAAAATTTAAGTCTTTCAATCCTTATCAAAAAGCTCACTTCACAATCTCTTTTGTTTTCAATGCACTCATTGAGAAAAAGTGTCCAAGAATTAGGTATCAATTAATATAATATTAGAATATATTGCGTTTTGGTTTTGCTGCTTATATTTAAACGTCTTTACTTCGATTGATTCATTAGTATAATTTTTTCAGTTGAACAGTGCGGCATGAGAGGGTATATAATAAATTATTTTCGACCCAATAGTTTTTCTTTTTATATGGGTATAGGGAAGTTTATCATGCTATGTGTGAAAAATATTGTTTTATTTACTATGCTAAGAGAAATAATTACAATATGACGTTACCAATAAGTCAGTTGGTTAAACGTAGTGGTTTGCACTGTAACATTCTGCCGTTATATCTGCAAAATATCGACTTTTTAAAGTGATGAAATATTTCCTTAATAAAATAATAATTTTTCAATCTCTTACTTGAGCTTTTTTACTGAATCATCCTAAAATTGGCATACTGAGGCAGAACTGAGCCCGGTGTTGTATGTTCGAAGTCTTGGCGCATGCGATAGAGAATTATATAGACCGTGGGCGGTGTCTGCAGCATTAAAACAGAGCGTTATTTCTTCTTCCACAAACATAGAGGATAATTATATCAGAGAGTCACTGGCCACGTGTATATTACAATTGATGTAATTGCCACCGATATGGTGCAGGCATACAGGAAGAATAATTCATTTCAATTTGGCATGCATTCACTTAATTTGAATTATTTGTAATTGTTATCAGTAAATTTTTGTTAAATATCCATCTACAAATTCGACTAGATGCAAAGCAGGAGGATGCATAGTAGTTATTTTTACGGGAGCTTTACTAAATTGATATCGAACATATTTATGATATTTAAAAAATAAATTCTATCACGAATGCAGGAAATAGGCTGACAACATATTTTGTCTAGCATATAATCTTTTACTAGATAATCCTACCTAATGTTTGTTCTGAACGAACAATTAATTATTATTTACTGACTCTTACTTTATTTTTATAAAACGACCTCTCGAAAAAACACAAATCGTACAACGAGCAGCTAAACAAAAGAATTTCAACAAAGCTGTAGTTGCATGAACGATAAATTATGAAATAATGTCAACACTATACATAACAAGATATATCAAAAGATAAGCGCAATCACAATGTCAAGGCGTTTCCTATTGTGCCAGCGGTATAAGCCTTTCAGGACCCAGCATACTTTCAACAAGGTTATTATTTCAAGGGCGTTGATACATGAATTAATATCATAACATGATACATAACAAAATTAAAATATAAAAGTGACAACCACTGTTTTCTAATTGTGACCTCGGTATAATAATTATAATTAGACCCCAGCTTTAATTTGATCAAGCAACGCTTGACTGACATTAGCAGACACGGCTGGGTACCCCTTGCAGCCAAGGCCGGTGATCTCGAAGACCCCGCCTGAAGAAGGGTTGCGTTCCACCTCCTCTTCGTTGAGCCCGATACGCCCGGACGTGAAGTAGAGATTACTGTAATCTCGGCCTCCCCAACACACTGAGGTGGGGCTTTTCGTTAACGTGTCAACTTGTCGGATCAGTTTACCGCTCATAGGATCAAGACAAATGATCTGCACGGACGATCAAAGCAAAAACGATTAGTCAATTTGGTTATATTATTTGCGAATTATCGCTGTTTTTAAGAGGGTAAGTAAAATAGGGTTAATTGTGTAATGCTCCTTTAAATTTTAATACATAAACAAGTATTTCAATATCAAACGGAACCATTATTTACGCAGGATTATTGATAAAGTTATAGTATCGATAGAGTAAAGTAAAACAAAGTAATACGAGTACAACCGCACCGCACATTTGCCCACCTTGCGCCCAAAGTAGTTGGCTACCCACAAGTTACCATTCACGTCGGTGGTCATACCGTCCGGCAAATCTTCGGTCAGTCCGATTGAAGCGTAATCCGTGACTGTCCGGCGGTTGCCTAACAGAGGGAATGCGTTTGATTCGTTTTACTGCAAACAATATCTTCTGCAGGTGGCAGAATCATATATTTCAACCGTTTTCTGGATACACTGCGATGGGAATTTTCACCTATATCATTTACAGACGATGCTGTTAGCTATTTTTCCATCGTAAACTAACGAACAATTTGCAGGAAATAGGCCGGATAAAATATATTCGAAGTATTTAAAATTCTATTGTAAATATAAAGATCGAAGCATAACTGAGATAAATAATCTCACTTATTAGCCCAGTGCTGTCGTCATAATCAAATACGTCGACGCGCAGCTCCAAGGTGTCGATGTAATAAAAGAACTTGCGGTCGTTCGACCAAGCAAGACCATTCGACAAGCTGATCTGAAAAATATTATGAAGACTAATTAATCGGCATGTTGAAGACTACCTAACCGATATTTGAAAAATAACTAACCGATATGTTGAAGAATAACTAATCGATATGTCAAGACTAACTAATCTATATGTTGAAGACTAACTAATCGATATGTTGAAGATTAATTGACCGGTATGTTGAAGACTAACTAACCGATATGTTGAAAACTAACTGACCGATTTACTGCAGACTAGCGAACCAAATATTTTTTGGGCAACATTATGCGTCTTGAAAAAAATAGGTAACATAAAAGTCTACTTAACAACGTCTATATAAAAGAGTGTTGGCACCAACAATTTGCCTGATGAAACGTGGTTCGAGACTTCGAGTTATCATTGTTTGGGCAACATCATCAATGGCCAAATTAGTGGTCGTACACATTTAATGATGTTCTTTGTTTTGATTTTCCTCATTTTCCTCTTTTGATTTCCCATAATTTCTAAATATATGGAAATTCATTACCTTGTCAACACAGGCTGTCGCTCTCATGTTGTCATCGAAGCGGTAGAGCGCCGCCTGGTGCTTGTCAAGCACTCCCGGCGATGTCTCAAAGCCCATCGTGCCTATATATGCATCACCACGTATGGTTAACCTTGACAACAATTACGTATCTTTCTTTATAAATCTTCATCAGATCACAGAGAAAACATCGCATGTAGCCTGGACTTATAATTCTGCATTTACTTCTAAACTTTTGGAATTTATTTATGTCTCCGACTACATCACAGGCGACTCAACACTTTGTGAAGAATATAACTAATTTCCGTCCAGCTGTCAGGGATTTGTTTATCATCTCTGTTCTAACGCCTCAACTGATAATATTTTGGCTTAATTATATTACATTTAATATTGCAATCTAATATTTTGGCTTGATAGATTTCATTTCACCTGATTGAATTGATTTCTATCAGCGTTGTTTGATGTGTCCCACATGTAAAATTCGAGAGATTTATACAGAAAATCCTTCTAACCATCGTGATGGCTACCATTATTACAAATTGAAATTAACTACCAGCCCAAATCCGGCCTTGAGGGTCGCATTTTCCATCGTTAAAACGAGTTTGTTTCCCGTCTTCCACCGAAGTGATGGCAACGGCTCGGGTGGAGCTACTGTCGGAGTCTCCGGGGAGCCACCTCACCCCCGCCAGGGTGCGTCCGTGCCCGATGATCAGCACGTCCGGATCCGCAGCGGCAGGAAGTACGAACGATACGGACTGTCCGGTAATTCCGGCTTCTGCAAACATTGCGAAGATTAGTGTTTTTTATGGAAACAAAACGGACAGTGAAAAGTTACGGCATTGAGTTATTTCGGGGTGATTATAGTTGTATCATTGATATTACTAATACCTGAAAAATAATCTAAGTACTTTGGTCAGAATCCGACGTAGAAACGCCCCCTTCAAGCTAATCTGTCTATCTATATTCTATACTGATATTACTGAGAGATAGCACTGTTAGATGGACATCTCTGGACAAGGTCGAAACGTATCAACAGCCATGAATATGGAGATACTAAGACTGCAGTTACTATAAATGTTAACGCCTTTACATTTTCACAAAAATTAACGCCCGACAAACCGGCTGCTTACATGTGCTTGTCCGCTAAGTTTAAATTATTAGTTTATTTTTCCACGAGAAATTAGTCCAGGACAAAACTCGACGAATAAATTGAACTTTTTCTAAAGCAGACAATGGCTTACTAATCATCTATCATTCTAGCACATATTCTTGCTACTTTAATCACATGAAATATAAAAAATTATTAATTTCGAAGAATTATCCAAATTTCCATGATACGTGTGCGTCGCATTCGTACCAATCTTAAGCTCCTGCCGACGGCCGGACTCGTTGAAGTATCGGTTGATGGTTCCGTCCGGAATGTCCACGTAGAGCAGACTGTCCGTTTTCTCGTCCCAGTGCGGCCCCTCAGTCACAATCCCGGACCCCGCAATCGTACGGATCTTTATGGCAGACATCCTATAAAGAGCAACAAATTTTATGTTATTTATATGCTTATAAAATGACATGAACGGTATTTTTGTTCATAAAGAAATTTTCTGTTAATGATATTTTTTCTTTCGTTTGGTAATTGACGTTATCTGCATTAAACTCTTCTAAAGAATCACAAAAAAATATTAAAAATCCGACGACTAAAGATATTCTACGATAAAATTAAGTAACACAGTAGATTTTAATAACATATCATTGTATGTGATGGTTCACTTTAATCAATATAACGTTATATACTGTCCCAATACAGCATATACGTTTATCATGTGCAAGTATATTGAGATTTCGACTCTGAATTACCATTTTAAATTTGGACCATTCCTCCAAAATGTTCTTTCAAATGGCGCAGTCTGAATTTCAGTAAAATGAACCAGTTGTGGGACTGCACACACAATTTTTGGCGACATTGATGACAGAAAATCAAGTACTGACCCGTGATACAACTTGAAAACTCAAGAAAAAATGTCTTTAAAAATTAATATCTTACTTTGTGTTGCTGCAGAGACGAGTCAACTATCACCACAGCGCCCGCGTTGTAACACAACAATGGACAGGCAAACCTATGAACGCCGCTATCGTAAGTATCGAAGGAACGCCGCTGTACTCAATGTCAGGATGACCGTTCAAGGCCATCAAGTTTGCTATGCGACACAATTTAGTCGGGTAAGAATGACATATCAGCTTGTTGACGGGTACTTTTGCTCTGCTATCACATAGGATTAAATGACACTGATCGCAACCTATAACTAGTCATGCAAGGGAATAATTCGACCAGGGCTATCGAATTCTACGACTATTTGTAGTTTGAAAATAATATTTAGTATCCGAAGTTTGTGGATTGTCTAATAACTGTCGATCATAAACTCAAGTATCCGGCTTTGAAATATTAATCCAAATTTTTCGAGCCTGGCTTCGTGTAGCAGGACTTTAAGTAATAAGTATCATAGAAAAAAAATGAATCATTGTTAACTCTGTATTCATCAATAATTAATCATATAGAATCTATAGAATAGAAGTGTCAGCATTGAAGAAATAGGCCCACGTCTTCAAACTCAACAGTAGCTCAACAGTAACAGTAGAGAATATATTTTTTTTTTACAAATGCTATGTACAAAAAAGACTGGCCTATATTCCTTCAAATCGATAAGCAGGCCGAAAGCTCGTGAGCACATGCGTCCAGTTGGCATCATCAAGTGTGTTGATTGGTTTAGTTGTCACAGACAATTTTCGGGTCGGTCTTGCGACCCGTCTGCAAGATTTTACTCATACATTCTACTTTTCTCATATATCAACATGCAACAAAAGATGTCCGTCTTAAAGTAATTGAAAAATTAGTCTGGAAACTTTTACAATGGTATTCTTTGGATTAACTGGTAATATATTAATACGAGAAAAACCTTACTATAGTTTAATAAGATATTGACATGTTGAAGAAGTATAGATAGAAAATTTGACTGCTTGCCAACTTCAGTAGATACTATTCCTTGCGAATTATTGTAAGTAATTTCAGTTGCTAAACTGACATGAGATTATTGGGAAGAAGTGTCCATATTTTTTTCATATGAACTAGTATCATCAACTTTCATTGGCTTCGGTAATCAACATTTTCAGGATCAAACTTTGGTCAAACGATAGAGACTTTCGCACGAAAAAATTGAGCGACTCTCTAAATCTAAAATCCATGACATCAAAACTATCGTAAATTTCGGAGACTTTGCGAAATTGAAAAAAAAGAAAAATATCACTTAGGCCTTCAACGATATGACAAACAATTATTATATCCAGCACGCATTGTAGCAATTCAGCAGTAAGCTTTAAGACCTTTCCATTTGAATTTATTGATGCGTGCACCACGGTGTTTTTTTATGGCTGCACTTTTGGTCTCTGATACGGCAAGGGCTCATGTGATGATAACCTTGCGGAATTATTGCGTGATGATAAGTTGCATTGAACATAATAGGTGTCATAGAAGAGCCGCCAACACGTGAAGACGTCTCCATAAACCTATTTATTGGATATGAGTAGCAGATTCAACTTCGAGAGCTTGGTGACTCAGCAACTGGAACTATAGAAAATACAGGCGGGGAAATTGGGAAATTATCCTATTGATGTTCATTATGTTTGCAGTTTTCAAGTGAAAAACATCAAAATGACGTACATGCAGCTTCCGATTCTAATTAGAGCTCGGAGTTTTAGGCTGTTTGCTTTTAACATTTCAAAAGCTCTATTTGATCTTTGGATTGTTTCTTCCTCGAATTTAATCGTAGCAATAAAGAAAAAGGAAGAAAGCCGCCTTTGGCAGCTTTTCTACCTGGTAAATTATCCTATTGATGTTCATTAGGTTTGCAGTTTTCAAGTGAAAAACATCAAAATGACGTACATGCAGCTTCCGATTTTACATTTTCCAATGCAGACATTACAGTCTTTATTGTAGATATTTCTAATTAATGCATGTGGCGCCATTTGGAGCCAATTATGGTGCAATGTAGTAGTTTTGAGCGAAGAAACACCATACAAGGAAATGGAAAGCATCGGATAGCTTTTTTTTTCTTAAGCTAACTGTCTTGTGTGACAGGTCGTATTCGTCGAGAAGTACATATTGAGATACATAATAGTCATCGGACTTCTCAACTGTATGCAGGTCATAAAAATTGCTAATAACATCGTCAGAAACTAAAATCAAACGCTTACGTATAAATCGTTGTATTGACCGTGACATTTTTCAAATTCCTTGATGATAATGTAAAATAAAGTATATGATGCTCAATTTTTTTAGATGATAATGAAACAGTATTTAAACTTTCAATTATGGCGAAATATAATTTTAAATAACAAAATTACAGAAACGAATGATTGATAATCTCCAATTCTAAGAGAACCATCAACTAAGCGCTAGTTCAGAGCTTGATGCGCTAGTAGAAAGAACTGTTCGTTTGCTCATCACAACCGTCAACGTTTATATTTATTGCAACTTTGGATTTAAATACTTCATACAATGGCTGTAAGTACAATTAATTTCTACTTTGGGAAATAGTTTCAAGTCATTGCATGTAACTAATTCATTAAAGTATTTAATAACAGTGTTTACTTAGGCTACGTAGTTGTCAGTTGTGTGCTGACGAGTGACGATGCGGTTTGTTTACGTGGCTGAATGTATCCTGCGAAAACGCATTCATTCCATAATGTAATAAATTTTCCGCCTCTATATCGCTTATTGGATGTAAAGCGCGTATACAGTAATTTGACCACTCATGAATTGCATTTGTCATTTAGAAATGGAAATTTCATAATTATTGACTCATATGTCATTATTGACTCATGTGTGGCCTCGACTCGGCGCGCCAAAATGCAGCCATGTTTCTAGGTATAATACAACGGTGCTGACCTTGAAGGCTTGAAGTTTTACCGGTACATCCTACCTAGTGGCTAGTACCTAGCTATATATAAACTTGTACTAATGTTTCACTTTTAATTCATATGGATTACCTATATGAACATTTATAATATTAATATATCCTATGTACAATTGTTAGGGATAGGCTACCTATATACCTAGGCTTGAAACAAGTGACTTTTTTTATGTTTCATAAGTTCATATTATTACCACTTCTAGCCACAAAGCAAATCATATGGCTGAAGGGCCTGCAGCCAGGATGGAAATTTTCCTATTTCTGAATAAAATTTTAATTTTGAATTTGCTGATCCTAAGTAACAAATTTTTAACATTTTGGAATTTTAATGCCCTATTGTTCACTTTTGTTGACAATGACAATTAATTACTAGGGTAAGCACACCATATTCAGACATCGTGGGTCATTGATTTGTAATTCCAACACTTCTCAACTTTTTCCTTTATATTAAGCTTTGTCTTAGTTCCACTTCCACGCATGCGTAGATGGTTGAAATAGTGACGTCATACTATTGTGCGCAATATATCTGCAAAACACTAGGTCTGGCAGCCTGGCAGGAAAATGTTGAGATCCTCGGAGCAAAAGTCCATGTCACCCACTGCCGTGACCCAGTGAGAACATAAAAAAAAATGTGAAAGTTGATAGTTGACCTAGCTGTACCAAATAGTGATGAACTGTCTGTGTAGAAAGAATATTATGGTTAGAGACTTTGAAATAAGTCTGTGAATATATTAGGAATCCTTTAAATATAGGGTAAACGTGGTATATTCCGACACATTAAGGATGCATCGAAAAATGAAAAACTATAAAAAAATGAATGTATGCGTTACTCCAGTTCTGTTTGCTTTATGTGACTCGCAAAACACCGTACTACACACCAGCAAAGATGACACGTCACAAAATGTTGCCATATTTATTTAAAAGCCTTTAGAATGAAAACCTACCAAATCCCTATATTCTGACACTGTGTGTGGCAATATTCGGCACGTGGTGAGGCGTATTCTGTCCGCGCTTCAAATTCTACTGATACGTAATGCCGTCATCCACGTGTTTGAATTCCGTTTGCTGTGTGAGCT